AAAATTGAGCATGTTGCAAAAGAACTGTAATTTTAGAAAAAGAATTGAAATTTTGGCCAGATGTTTCCATGAGGTTTTTATGATTTTTTTTAGTTGTTTAAAAGATAAATTGTAAAAACATGGTTAATTGAAATAAGTTAAAATCTTGTCTTTCAAGATTTTTGCTATTTTTCTAATAGTAACGTAACTAAAGTCTTGTTATTATCTAACCAGATGTATTCTGTATCTTGTGTATAGAACTGTTCTTTAAAAGATTGACTTTTTCAAGGGCAGTGCCTGTAGCTCAAAGGAGTAAGGCACCGGCCCCATATGCCGGAGGTGGCGGGTTCAAACCCAGACCCGGCCAAAAACCGCAAAGAAAAAAAAAGATTGACTTTTTGTAGGAGATAATTTAATTGTCCCGTTATTATTGTTAAACCTTTAATTTTATCATTATCATGCTAATTCCTCTAATTTAAAATATTTACTGTAAGTATTAATGTTTCTTAATCAAAAGGGTATGATATGAATGAAGCCCCTGTAAAAACAGATCTATTATGTGGGTGCTAAATTTTGAGAAATAAAAGACAGAAATGAAATACACAAATGAAAACCACACATTTTTAATTCAAACCTTCTAGGATTTTGTAAATTACCATTTGTGATGTCTTAGTGTGATCCCCTCCCCCATTTGTAGGGCTTTTATAACTTATTGTTCCAGATAATTAAAGACAGATGATGCTGCCTTCAACTAGGTTTTTAACTGTCAGAGTTCTAGGTTAAGGTATTAGTACAAAATTAAGTTTTCTAGATAATAATTGAGATAAGGATTAAGGGAAAAGTTACGTAAAAATGTGTGGAATTTTAGAAAGGGACAAGAAGAGATACTGATAAATATGAAATACTGGTCTAAAGTAACTTAAATTGTCTTCAGTCCATACTTGTTTTGAATTTACTAAACATTTGTTAGTTAACATCAAAGTTAAGTCATCATAACTGGAAGATTTTTGTTTTAGAGGTAGCTTTCTTTTTCTTTCGAGACAGAATTTTAATTTGTTGCCCTCGGTTGAGTACTGTGGTGTCAGAGCTCACAGTTATGAGCTCCAACTCTTGGGCTCAAGTGATTCTCTTGTCTCAGCCTTCCAAGTAGCTGGGACTGACTACAGGTGCCCACTACAACACCCTGCTATTTTTAGAGACAAGGTCTCGCTCTGGTTCAGGCTGGTCTTAAACCTGTGAGTTCAGGCTGTCCACCCACTTTGGCCTCCCAGAGTTCAGAGGTGTCTTTCTCTGTAAAATCAGAATGTTTCACCAAGAATGTTTCACCACTGAAATGCCTTATAAAGGCAGAATTGATAAATATATATCTATACTATCTTCTTGTATTTTATTGCAGATTATTTCTTTTATCACTGTAGTTTGGAAGAATTTGTTTCATTCAAGTTTTTTTCTTGGACGAGAATTTGAGAACAATTACAAAAGGAGAGTGATATGATTTAAAAACAAACAAAAAACTTTTTGCTTTTCTTCCCAAGGTAGCTTTTGTGTCACTTTCATCCTCTGGATTTGGTCCCCATTGATCTCTCATGAGAGAAAGGGATATATTATAAATTCAATATTATGATTCAGGAAATGTTTTAACAGTGTAACTTTTTGGTTGTAGGAAAAATCAGAGTGGTTATTCTTTTAATCATCTTTTGAAATAATGCTGTAACACTTTAAAAAATGTTGAGATGTAGAAAATGCTTTCAGTTGGCCAGTGGGAGAGACTTAACAGAAACATGGATCAAAGCATTAAGATTATGTATTTTGTTTTTTAAAAATCATTCTTATTAAGAAAATCTTAATGCCTTTAGCATGGGCTTACCTTTGCAAGAATGGGAAAATACAGATATTTCATAGTGAAATACAGTGAAAAATTATGTTGTGTAATTGTTAGTACAGCCTCTTGTGTGAAAGGAGTCAAACTTCTTAGACTGAACTTAGGTGTTCTTTGAAGTATTCTCTTTGCCTAGGGGGTGTTGTTTCTTTACCACTTTTTAAAGCTTCTCTATTCAAGCACTGTACACATTCAATTATAATTATGTTTACTAATCTTTCCCACAATACTAGTTCCTTAAGGGCAGGGACTAAATTTCTTATAGTAATTGAGCAGGTCTTTGCTTCTTCTATAATGATTTAAAGTTTATATATTGTTTCTTATTTTAAGTGCAACTGTGAGATATCCAGGATCATAGAACTTATGCAACAGAAATTGAAAAAGGAAAGACTTTCTTTTTTATACTTCTTTTCATCATTCTTTGAGGTGAATTGATGTGTGTCTTCATCATCAATGCCTGTTTTGTAGCAGGTCTTCAAATATTTAAGAAGAATGAGTGTTTTCTGTAATATAAGAGTAATATTCATTTTGGCCACTTCTGGGAATGGTAGCATCAGTTAAAATACTCTGATAATTGTAAAATACCAAATCGTAACTTTCAAAAAGTTTTTATTTTTTATTTATGATGTACATGCAGTGTTTAAAGAGTCAAGTAGTATATGTAGTCATCTAAAATATAAAAGCTTCTTGCTCCTTGCTTTCCAAATTTTTCTTTCCTAGTAACAATTGCTTTTACCTCTTTTAGGTATTTACTGAGATATTTATCTCCTGCTCTCTAACATCCTTGTATTGCTGGTAGATATGCAACATAGCTTTATGGTTAGGAGCAGTGTCTCTGGAATTAGATTGTGTAGGTTTGTTTTTTTTCTGTCATTTACTGGTTTTATGTAACTTTGGACTACTACTTTAACAACTCTTTGCCTCTATTTCCTCATTTTAAAAATTATGATAAAAATATCTACCTTATAAGATTGTTGTAAGAACTAAATGAATTTGAAAGCCCTTAAACCTTTAACTCACATGTCCTGTATTGTTTGTGAAAACTTCTTGAGTTGATCTTTGTCTTTATTAGCTTCCTGAACGGAAAATGAAGATGTTGTTACCATCTATGGAACTGATTCTCTGCAATACCCCTTCCTCCCAGTATTGTGATTCTGTCACTGTTGATTATTTAGTATTCTTGTAAAATAGGATTGTTTTTCCAGTCCTATATAAAGTCCAGTGGCTACCTCTCTGCTCCACTTCATCCCCAACTGTGTGGCTTTATAGAAATCTTAGTGGGTTCTGCTCCCTTCCCAAGTTTTCATCTATCAGCATGGTCTATTTTCTCCAAGTTACCTCCTATCACCCCTCATTTTTATTTGTTTTGGGCTCTACTTTTTCTTGATAAAATCCTTTTCTTAGATGCTTGGTAATTCTTAACTTGTCTGCATGTAAGTGTAAGGGAACTAAAGAGCTGATTAGAAATTTTCGGCATGGCTTGTTGATTGTTAGCTTTACCCATAGGGTGTTCTGGTTGGAGTTCTTTATCTTTCTTTTTTCCTCTTTGCTTAGTTTTTTCTGTATTCATCACTATTTCTGCTTTCAGCAGATGTCTCTCAAGATGTTCTGACATTAGGTGTTGTTAGCTGTTTTATCCTTCTTAGGACATCTCATATGCCTCTGACCTCGGTTCTGGCTTGATTGCCTTCTAAGCTTAGTACATGACTATTGTCCTGGGATTTCAGGATAATAGTTCACTTTGACCTGTGTTGGAGCTCCATTTTCCAGAGACCAATGTTGTCTTCATTTGTGGTTTACTTGGTGTTTTAAACTGGCTGTAATTTACCCTGATACTTGTTTACTGCTTTGGTTAGGTAAAGAATACCAGGTGTGGAAATTATATTCTTTTGTACCATTGCTTTCTAGCATCCATATTGCTTTTGAGAAATCTGAAACCATTCTGATTTCTCATCTATTGCATAAGTGTTTTGTTTTGTTTTATCC